GTCTTACACTTAGTCATACATCAACATTCCAGCATTCAGTGGGGTAACAATATGAGAACAATTTTTAGCAGGGTATGTTATTATCAGTGAAGCTTGAATAAAATATAAGATGATACATCCAATAATCCAGAATCCTGAGGCAAAAACAAGGAGAAAGCAGTGATTACAGCACCATGTTTTCTGAAAACAGTAGCCCAGTGGTGGCTCGCAGCAAGGAGGTTCTTGGTTTGAACCAAATCGGCTGGATTTGGCCTGTTCTCCACGTGCCTGTATGGGTTTCTTCCAGGTAGTCAAGCTTCATACAATCCGAACACTTGCACATTTGGTGATTCTAAATTGTGTATAGGTGTATATTTTGATTGTTGCTCACACAATTTTATCCTTGTTATGGCAACCATTCCATAATGCACCCTGGTTCTCACTTTACTCAGTATAAAAGCTGTGGGCATGCACTGTCTTGAATTACAACCTGTTGTTCCAGTTTTCCCTTATTTTCAGGTATTCAAGGAGTGCAGGTGTGTTCTGTTTTATCAGCTAAATAGAAGGCGCATTGTGAAGTGGTATTACCTAACACCTCCAAAAATTTTGTCGCTTTTTCTTTTTACATGTTTCACACATCTATTTTTTTTTAATTATTTATTATGTATGTTTGGAGTAAGTATGTCCTCACTCTAATATTTAACACAGTAGAATTTATAAATGAAGTCAGAATACAAGAAAAGAAACCAAATGTAAAATTTAAGAATTGTTACCACCAAAACTTTTGTTTTTCCTCTTTTTCCTTCTTCTTGAGCTTACTGAGCACAGTAAATAATACAACACACTGAAACAGCTACACAAAGGTACTATAAATGTACAACAAACAGTTCAAACTACATTTTCAGTTTAACAATGAAACATTAAAAAAATCTGTTATCTTCTACAGAGAAAAAGGTCTTTTACTGAGACATATCTGATTGATGATTGGTTCCAGTGATCGATCAGTGTTGCTTGAGAGGTTGTTTTTCAGCCTTAAGCAGTGTTTCCAGCTTCTTTTTTTTCCCCACAGGAACCCTAAATAAAAAGACATGGCAGCTTGAAATGATAAGTCCAGGGCAGAGTTTCAGAAGATCATTATGTTTACTTAGAGAGTCTCTCTCATCTGGTTTTGGTAGCTGGACACTGACCAGATGATGTTTAGAGTTGTTTGCCTAATGGAATATAACTGTATGTGACATGTATTCTTCGCTGCTGTATTTTTAAGTTTTTTTTCCATTCAGTTTAAAAAATATATGATCCCTGTATTTGTTCATCTCTATCATCTGGACTTTTTGTCTTGCGCAGTGTGTGCAAGTCTGTGAAAGTTTGAAATGCTTCATAGTTTGATGCTTTCTTTGATGTTGCAGAAGGCAAGTCCTTTGCTGGCGTGCACAGAAGCTTCAGTCTCTGGGTGGCAAAAGAGAAGCGTAGTTTTTGATTATTCTGCTGAATGATCATATCATCATATTTGTAACATTAAGTAACTGCCATCAAGGGCGAGGTTTAAGGCTCAAAATCAATAAAAGGTACACTGCAGTTTCACTGGGGTTTGTATTTCACTGTGACCACAAATGACCTTACTTCCACAAGGTATACACTTTAATTTGAACAGTTAAGAGAGAAACAAGAACTCCTGACCTCAAATTCCTCATGTTACCCTAAATACAATTTACAGTGAGCTGCCTAAGATGCATCCAGTGGAAGGATCAGAAGCTTTTTTTAGACTTATAAGATTCTCACCTTTTTTTTTTTTTTTGATTTACCTGTCTCAGTGTTCCTGGAGTAATGCACACAGCATACAACATCCACAAAGGAACCATGAGTGTTGAGGAGAGTGTAAACAATCCTCCAATAGCGTATCCCCACCAGGGATATTCATAGGTGTTGTTGAATTTGAGTGGGGTATATTTGATCAGGGAGAAGAGAAATGTGCACTGAAAACATAAGACAAGAGCAGGTATAAACTTAAAGGCTGATTTGTATTCAACAAGAGAAAATTCATATTCATGGGGGATTCATTTTGACATTATATGATGTAAAACAAACACTTATAAATAAGATTTAAAATTATATTCATTCACAATTACAGCCTTTGCTTTTGTAGTGCCATTTGTTTCCAAACACTCCTGTTTCAGTCATGTCAAAACTTTAGGTACAGGTGACTGTGATTATATCCAGTGTCTATGTATGGTTTTCTCTCTGGTCTATTTGATATAAATTGGTTTTAACTAGACATAATTTTATAACTACTTAAAACATACATGTATTTTTGATCCATCCGCAGCAGAATTTAAATTTTTTTCAAAGCTTTTTATTAAATCAACTGAAGTCACATTAGACATGTACACAAAATAATATTTCACCAGTTGTGTGAAGCTAAAAATTGACTTCTTCTGTCACATTTATGCTGTCACAGTGGAAAATACTCCTCTGAAATAAGGTCAACATTTCAAATATGAGGTCAGTGTACAGCATGTGCAAGTAATGTCAATGACCCCAAACACTAGGCTTTTAATGGATCTGAGAGTTGATATCCTTAATATGTTCATTTCACAGACACAGCCTTGGCTATTAGTAAGCAGCCCTACTCACGTCTTGTTTAAACTCTATAAGTTAGCTTAAATAGAGGGTGGCCTGAAAGAGAGAGGATCTAAAATGGTTTGTTTCAGAAAAAGGATGAAGTAAGGGGCTGTATTAGGAAGCAGTAAAAACCAAAAGTTTATTTTGAACTGTGAGTCATGCAAAGCTACTCCAGAGTAGCCCAAAACTAAACTATGGCACTAAAATTAAACTATGGAGCATAAAAGATCCACTTTATAAATGCAACTCAAATGACATTAAATGTCTTCGAGTTGCTATGCAGTGTCAAAGTGGAATTGTTTTCCATCTGGATAAGACATAGACTAGTCTTAGAACAGAAGATTCTGACAGGTTTCACGTACACTCACTTAAGAGCATTTCACAACATTTCTAATACTTACAGTACAGATCGCTGGTGTGAAGTACTGCCAACAGTATTTCATAAAAGGCCATGGTCGATATCCAATCATGTCCTTTGTATTGTCGTACTGACGATCTCCACCTACAGAAAATAAACATTGTTAACTATTTGAGTGTTTCCTCACACACACACACACACACAAACATAATACCATATATATATAATGCCAAAAAATGATTTTGGTGATCTGGACAGAGTGTTTTCAGTGATAATGATATGTCCAGATAAACAGAATCAACTTTTAGGGATTTCATTACCTGGATGGAGCATGGATCAAGACATATATATAATGGAGGTTCTGTATTGTGCTTCACTTTCATTTTACAGAAGTTAAAATGAAAGTGAAGCCAAGATTTGAATTTAACACATGGGTTTGATACATGGGTTTATAAAAAGCCATCCAAAAGTTGCAAATTTTACCCAAGTGGCAACCTGTAGAACTGCTGTTCTTTGAGGCAAGCTCAGAAAGCGAGTCAGTCCCCATAGACGGCAATGTTAAAATGTCCAGTTTTACACCAGAGAGAGATTTTGATATTTCTGGCTAATTTTAACTATCATAAAACCTCTACAGGAAGTGATCCTTTTCTCTGCTATTTAAGTTCTATGATGACTTAAGAAAAAAAAATCATAACTCTAGTGCATAATTGAAAATGTGGCTATTTTGTGATATGTGGCTGTCATTTTTTTTTTTTTTTTTTTTACTTAAAGTATTCAAATTATTTATTAATAGTAAATTAATGAAGCACTTTCCAATCAAGCTGGTTATATAGTGTTGGGGTAACCTGATAAATTTCCCAGTTTTACCCTTTCCGCAAGATACGATCGCATCTGTTTGAAAAGCTAACATGATGACAGCCAAATTGGCAGATTTTAGGTTTTTAGATGATAGTGCACATGCCAATGAATGGCTTTACAGTATTTGGTCCATTTTTTTAAATACACTGAATGATTTGACCAAGTTAAAACTGCTACTTACCATAGACCCATCCTATGCAGACAGACTGAAGAATAGCAAAAAGTAGGAGGGTCATCCCACTGCAGGCATAGTAGTCAAACAGCTGGAAAATATAAAGGCCTCCCTGCAAATATATAGAAACAAAATATATGACTGCATCTATAACTATAGATTCACCATACTAAATCCATATTCTGAGAACATAGTCCATATAAAAGGAGAGCAAAACATGAGCAGGTGTATCACTCTTGTGAATTCGGCCCTTAACTTAAAAATTCTTCTGTTCAATGAGATTAAAATAGTGCATGCTAGGTTTAGTTAATCTACTGTATTTCCCTCTGTATTTATCACATGTGAATTCCTTATGTTTTTATAGTTGAAAATATTACAAGGTTCATTTTTAAATTGATTTATTTTTTAAATTCCATTTTTAAATGATCAAGAAAATCTGAAAACGCTCACCTCCGTCACCATCAGAAGGCCTACAAGGAAGCTTCCGACATTAATTCCAAGAAGAAGGAGTTTACGGTGACAATTGTTTTGAAAAAAGGAAGGATACATGTCCGAGATTGTTGTGACCAGTGCCTCTTGATATACAAACTGCGGTGATGGGAGAGATTATTTCGTATTACCACAAAGGAAACAACTCTATGATGTACATGACAAATAGATTGGTATTACCTCACTATCTAATCCCAGAAAGATGACCATGATGAAGAAGAAAATCGCCCAGAGCTGAGGAAGCGGCATTAAAGCCACAGCACGAGGATAAGCAATAAATGCCAATCCAGGTCCTGCAAAAATGGAAGCAAAATATAGTCGTTTTCTCAGACAGCTCTTAACAGTATCACTCTGGGTTTCCATCCATACCTGATTCAGCTACCATCGATATATCCAAACCTTGTTCTTTTGCCATGAAACCAAGCACAGAGAAAATGGCGAAACCAGCTACAAAACTGGTTAAACTGTTTAACAGGCACAGGTAAACACAGTCTCTGTAGGTGAAATTTTTCAAAGGTGAGTAAACAAGCAAATTACAGTAATTACAAAAGTAAAGGAAGAATTCCAAACCTGTAGCAGTTGTTGTTGTACTTGTTGTAGCTTCCCAATGATGTCAGAACCCCCGTGCAAACTCCATAGGAGTAGAAAATTTGGCTGCCCGCATCCATCCATACCTGAGGAATTTAAAGTCATTGTGATTGGTAAATATGTAAGTGTACAAAAAAGTGCATTTACATCATACTAACTGCTTCTAGTAGTAAAAGTCCAATAATATGCCAAGTTATCGAAAAACTGATTTACTAAAAGTATTTGCAAACCAACACAGATGTTCCTGATCCTTGAATTTACTGGAATCTGTTGCTCATTTAAATTATTTGTTGAAAATTAAGAACAATTGCATATATTCTCTACTGACTGAGAATAGGATTTGTCATGTCTGTGTGTAGGCAGGCAGGAAGAGAGGACCCAAAATGCAGGACTCACTGAGGCGGAAGTAACTCAAAACACACAGCTTTATTGCTGGTAAGAAGCAGAACAGAAAAACACTAACTAAACTGGAAGAACAGAATAACTAGGCAGGTAGGCTGGCTGGCAAACGGAACACACAGAGGAAGCGAGGGTGAACAGACGTTAACGACGCGACACCGAGTAGGGGAAGACACAGACACTAAATATGAGAGGTGAACGGCGCGAAGAGGAAACAGCTGGGAGACACGGCTGACGCTGATTACACTGACGAGACAGGGAGAGCATAAAGCTGAACGCACTGACATAGGACACAGACCTACAAAATAAAACAGGAAGCACACGACAGACAGAGACACAGACTCGTAAACAGGCATAATGATGTCACGGACAGACAGAGGGACATACGGGCAGAGAAGAATAAGCACAGGCAACCTAAACCAAACATGAGGGCAAGATAACAAAACCTAAACCAGAAATAATCGTCATTAACATCATCATCATCGGATAACAAAAGAATCAGAATATAATTATAATCAAAACAGTATCACCAGAGAATAAAAACTAATCCATAATGCCAAAATAAACCAAAACATAAGAGACTCAAAATGCTGGGTCGAACCGACCCAGGACCGTGACAGGATTGACACACACATTCTTTTCAGATCATCTGGTAATCTTTAACCTCACTACCACTGGAATAAAAAATAAATAAAAACTATGATGCTGTGTGAAGGCTGGATGAAAACTAAACCATGCCATTGGTGAGTACAGGGCTTTGCACAGTAAGTGCAAAAACATCATATTCTGTGGTGAAACATGTTTACCAACATTTCGACCCCCCTTTTTTTTAACTACATGCTATTGTTAAATGCAAAAGATGTGCAATGCAATTAAATGCAATGTGACATGCATTATAGGAAAAAAGCGAATACTTCTTCAGTACTAGAGAATGTAGCACCTCAGGATCAGTGAGACGGGATGGGTCTGGGTAGAGGTAGAACATAATTCCATCTTTGGCTCCAGGTAATGTGAGGCCACGAACCAGCAACACCACCAGCATCACAAATGGAAATGTGGCAGTGAAATACACCACCTTCAATATAAGCAACTGTCAGTATTTGTTTAAAAAAGCCTGACTTAGATGCTTCATAGAAGAGTTTGAATGAAATGAAAAATTAGTATATAAAGGTTGTTCTGCACCTTTCCTGTGGTCTTCACTCCATTCCAGATACAAAAATAGCACAAAACCCAGGCAAGAAGAAGACAAAGGGCCAGGTCCCAACGGATATTCCCAATGTTATCTATTCCATCAGACAGGCCCAAGATTCTCCTCCTGTTACAAAGTTTATACAGACGTTTATATATAAGCTTTCATATATGAAAACCTTATAAGTCTTATGGTATGGTCCATATTACCATACTTACTCCCAGAATTCAACAACTGAAGACACACTCTTTCCATTTGGGTCCACAGGAAATGTTTGATTGTGACTATGTTCAAAACAGCCATCTTGCATGAAAAATTAAGCAGGCTTGTGAAATGTGAATAACACATGCATGATGCAATTATGTGAAATGAATACAAAATAAAATCTTAGTACTTGTGTTCCAACTATTGTGACAGCTCGCCCATGGAAGCTCAGCCCTGAACGATGAAAACAGGTAGAGAAACGCCCAAGCCAGTATGATGATGTAATACATACCAGTGTACAAAACAACCACTTGGCTTCCGTAACCTAAACCTATTAAGAAATAGTGCGATGAACAATATCAGTTTTTATTTGACTCTAAGTTCCCATCAAGCTTAGACTTTAAAAGTTCATCTGTATTTTAAAAAAAAAATCATCTGTACAAATATATAAAAATACAATAAAGTTGCACTATGGCTTTTTATTTAGGTCACATACACAACAACAATTTTGATGTTCTTACATTTGTTGTAATGTAATTTTTATGTTTGTATTAGTATTGTACTTTCTACTCCATTATATTTCAATCCATCCATCAAACAATGTTCTTAACTGCTTATCCGAGGTTTTCCCAGCTGGCATAAAGCTAGAAGCTGGGTACGCCCTGGTCACCAGTCTGCCTGCCTTTCAGAGATTCACAAACATATGAAATATACCATCCCTAGGGTTTACATTTAGTGATGCTGAGGCTAACACGACATGTCACAAAGTTTATGTCAGACCCATTTCCTTGACAATGCTCTCAAATGGCCTTTACAGTCATCGGGTCTGTATCCAATAAAGTACATTTGAGATGTCTGATGTTATCAAGTCAAAATGGATCAAAATCACTGAGGAATGTTTCCAGCACCTTGGTGAATCTATTCCATGAATAATTAAAGCCGGTCTGAAGGTGAAAGGGTGATAAATCCTGTTCTAACAAGATCTAATTAAAATAATAAAGAAAAAATCACAAAAAAAACTACCTTCAAACAGTGGACAGATTTTTCTCCAACATGTTATTCCACCCTGACTGGTGTACTGACCCAAAGATGTCTCCAAGAAGAAGAGCGGGATGCCACAAGTGAACAAAAACAAAACATAAGGAATGAAGAAAACCCCTTAAAAACAAATAAATATCAGTAATTATTGATAACATGTAAGAAATGTGTATACACTGTATTGCTCAATGTGTGCAATTAGTATTGTTTTTGTTTTTTCCATGCTGAATTCAATCTTTATCTTTGGCAATAAAGGCTACATGACATTTGTTTTCAAGATGGACATAACAACAACAATTTACCTCCTCCGTTTTTGTAGCAAAGGTATGGAAACCTCCAGACATTCCCCAGCCCAATAATGTGCCCAGCTACTGCCAGGATGAACTCCAGCTTGTTGGCCCACTGCTCTCTCTGTGGAGCTTTGGGCTGGGTATGTCCCAGTCTGTTCCCAGGGTTCATCACATTCATTTTCACAGTGGATTTCTGTTTTTTGTCCATTTCAGCCCTTTAACAATTAAGTTTGTGTATCTCAATATCTTCTAAAATAAACAAAATACATAGAATGTCAACATCCAGTATACTCACTGAAACTCAGTGCTGTTTAAAGAAGGCCAAAAGAAAAAACTCACCTTACACCTTAGGATACAAAATAAGAGTCACGTGAATGGAAAATGCCGCTGATTTTGTCACTAATTTTCTGTCCAGTTCTTGTTATGTCTCAGCTTTTTCTCCCTTTTCTCCATCCTTAAGAATGACTTCTTGACACGCACCCTTCCACTGAGAGCATTTCTGATGAGGCTTCAGTGATCAGTAAATGGATGAACAGAAAGGCCAGAGGCACCTCTTAGGTCCTATGTCAGGTCTTTTATAGAATTTTCCTATTTCTTAAGGGCATGACTCTCAGATACTAATTGTCAGCTAAAGATTTTTTTTTTCTTGTTTTGTCCTGAACCTGTTTTCCCCCATTTTTTAAGGACACAATAAACAGATATGCCAAGTTTTTAACTAAAAGCTCTGTTGGTGTGAAAATACTGTGTTATCTTTGATATGTTTCACAGATTGGACTAAAGAAATTGTGGGGTGGGGGTATGTTTTTCTGTGACTATTAGTAACAAATTGCCTTAAGAAATTTTACATTTTGTTTTAAAATAATTTATTTGCTGTCTGGTATGTGTAGAAACATCACTGGTACATCCAGTTAGGTGCCTTTTTATGCTTCAATAGGTTCATGTTAAGTGGTAAAAACATTGCTGTAAAAATGGCCCAGACAGAAAATGAGTGAAAAAGCAGCCATTGTCCAAAGAAAAACGTTGAAAGACCTTCAGAAAACCTGGTGAACTGTTGTTTAAGACTATTTTTAAAATGAGTCTTGAACTAAAAAATTAGTGAAAACAAATGTAGTTGTTTCAGCTAGATATCGTGGCTTTATCCTGGTCATCTTAGTGTTGGCATAACCTTAGGAATCATGTTAACATATATACAAAGATACTGGAGTTACCAAGCATTGATCTTATTCCAGAAGTATAATATTTAACAACTTACAGCATCTTGATTATAGCAGGTAACATGAAAGCACATATAATTTCCAATTTACTATTTAAAACAGCCCCAGTTTAGAGAATGCATGCATTGTATGCCTGCTCACTTTATTCTTCCTATTCTTATCATCTGTACTGAGCAACAACAGAAGTACCTGACTATTTTTTACAAAGATATAACTTACTTTTTTATTCTTCCTTCCAGTTCAGTATCTTTTCTTCTATTGCAATAAACAGATTGCAATGTATAGATGTAAAACATAGAAACAAGCTTAGTGGCATCATTTAACCAATTGTAAGAGTTTTACCAACACTTTAAACAAAAGGAAAATGTAAACCAACACACCTTGAGCAGCTCAGGCTGTTTCCCCTTTAAAAGCCGTCTTCTGAAATAAAACACCTACTTCTTTCTGGAACGTATCTTTGGTAAAATGAGTTTCTGTGAGGAGTGGCCATAGAGACTAACACAGTCTTTTCTTTGGAACCAGTAGAGAACACTGACACACACACACACACACACACACACACACACACACACACACACACGTAGTTTGGAGTTGGTTTATGTTTTGTGTGTTGGTTAAGATAAAGTCACTTTTTTGGGGGGGTTATCTTTTTATAACAGGGTAATATGCAGAACATCTGTTTCCCTCTTGTTGTTTTGTGAAATGCATTTGAAACATTAGTTTTTATAATGATTAGTTAATCATAAATTAACAATGAATCTATTTTTTATTTTTTATTTTTTTGCACAGGTGCTAACGGTGGTGCTACATTACGGAATATGTGTTGTTAGTGATTTCACAGAAAACCAACCTTCAGCTCAGTTCGAAGGCTGCACGTGGCAGGTTTTTTCCCCTCATTTCTCTCACGTGACCTTTCGTAACAAGAGGACTAAAAAGAAGATATCATGTCTCAGAAATTAAACATCAGAGGAGTTGTTTTCTCATCATAAATGTTGGTCTCAAATATAGTTATCTATGTAACTATGTGCGTACCTAAGATTCAGGTGATTAGCTGAATATTTGTTCATTGTTAGGTGTGAAAAATGTTGCTTGCCTATCAGTCAGAATAGTTTGCATTTAAAGTCTCATACATGAAATGCAAAGCATTGTGGGAATTTTCAAATTAGATGACAGTTTGGTTCTTCCTCAAATGGATCCATGGCTTTTGTGTGGCTTTTCAGTTCCTGGGTTTACTCTATTTCAGTGAGGAGTCTTACTTTTGATTCAGGTATATTAATATTAGCTGTAGTAGTCCTGCTCATGATCAAACCCTAACTTCAGATTAAGTTACAAAATTGCAAGGTCTAATGCTACATTCTTTCTAGTGAAAACAGTGCTTGGCGTCTGTAGTATGACCAAAAGTATTGCAGCCATGTGCAATGAATTTGTGATCTTCCCTTTGAAGTGGTTGGTTAAAAGACCAGGACAGTGTCAATAATTATCTTCAAAGTGAGTATATTGGAACCAAATAGTGCCAAATATTGGAACACTTACAATCAGCTGCCAAAAGCAAAAAATGTAATGCAGTCTGGACAATCAGATAATTCCTAGTTGCAAGGAAGATGTCATCTTTTTGCTCTAATGTGGCTGAGCCATAAGTCTGCTTGTGTCCTGCACTTGAGTCTAACCACCACAGACCTGCAGTGATCTGTGACCATGGCAAAGGGGCACTTTTAATCCCCCATACTCTCCCTGCTCACTGAGAGATGTTTTATCTAAACAGAACACATTTGAAAATCCCATACAAAATGAATCTTAAGTTCAGTTGAGGGTATTCACACTGGAAATGTTAAAAGAAGAGATGGGGCATGAACTAAAGTCAGACAGTTTATAATGAAACAATCTCCCCAAGTTTCCCAAAGAAGGGAAGGAGCTTTGGTTAAAGAATAACAACAAAATACTTCTGCCGTAAAGACAGTCATCACTCACACAACGTGAGGACAGTTGAAGGTCACAGAGAGGTCGCAGTCTATGGTCTTCCATCATTGTAGTGTGGAGAAGCACGTGTCAGAAAACATCAGTACGCATTTTTAAACATATCACAGATGTATAAATCTTTTTGTACTCAGTGTACATTTTTATTTTTATCTGTGTAATGTTTTTTGTGATATAGTAAAATATAATTTTTAACACAGCATTAATGCTAACTTATACCAAGAAAAGCTTAAAATTAGTGGGTATGCAAAGGGTTTAGCTTAAGGCCTATTTTTAGTTATATGTTATATAACATGTAGTGAACATGATAAACATGTGCAAGAGCTTGATCAAAGTGAGACTGATCCTGTTAAATCAGGAGACAGCTGTGTTTCTTTGAACTCAAGTAGCCCTCACTTTGAAACACGTTGCCAATGATGATTCATTAACAACCCCAAGAATGATTTGTCCAAAATAAATCTAGTGTGGTTATTAAAGGCTCTTCTACCAGGGACACACAGAAAAACGTTAGTTCTGTCTGAAGAGACAAGGTGTGTTTCAAACTGAAAAAGCAGGACTTCCACAAGTGACCTCAGAAGACAACAAACTGTGAGTATAAGATCCAGAAACTTCCTAGAAACTCTTGCCGCTCTGATGTTTCTAAAACTGAATAACTTTAACCTGCTTTAACCATCTTGAACCAACTTTAACCCATCATGTGGCCAACACACACTATGCAAATCATTTTAACTAGTGAATGTCATTTTTTAAAACATTTTGAATAAAAGTATAACTGCTTAACAAATGTAAAGCTGTTAAATGATTGTTGCTCTGCTTCAGTTAGAAGTCACATTCAGGAAAATAAAAGTGCTTCTTGAGTTTGGACTAATTTTGTTCGATCTGGACTTAAATTGTAATGAAAAGCTGAGAATTTGATTTGAGTAATTTGATTTATTGGGAGTTAGGTGTTCATATATGGTACTATTTCTTAATGTACAACAACAGGTTTGAGGTTTTTTATTCTGTTGATCCCAGCTAAACAAAATGTTTGTATTCTGTTTCAGAACAGTCACTGTTGGGGTTTTTTCTTCAGATAGCTTTCACTCAAACCTCTCCAAATGTGTTCTTAAGGGACTAAATTAACAGTTTGGATGTGGCCAGTTTTTCAGGACTATGTATATAAGTGCTCACCTAACACGTAAGCTAAACAATCAATGACTAATTCACTGCAGATAAATATGAACACCCCTTTCATTACCAAAGAAAGGTCAGTAAGACAAAAGGCATTGTGTGTTTCGGGACTGTTGCTGTGCCCTGACTTCACAGCAGTCTGAACAGCTGACAGCTGTGGAGCTAAAGGGCCGGTTAGTGGAAAGTGTCCTGAGAAAAAACAAGAAATAAGGGCAGCGGGAGAAAATGACTAGAGGGGTGTATACTACACAATAGCAGATTCTGACTTCATGTTTCCTAATCATTAAACGCAGATTAAACAGGATGTGATGGCTCTGGTTTCTGTTTTACTGATTTTTTTCACATGTACTTGAGGTCACTGCTAAAAGAAAAATGTTTAAAAACTGAACCAAATAAAAACTATATAAAGATTTTCAAAAAGCAAAATCAATTCTTGAAACTTGGCTGAATTTTGAACAAAACTCCCATCTCAAGAAGAAAACCTGGGATGTCTCAAAAATGAGCTGGGAGCTGATACCGATAGTGATTAAATCAGGGGTGGGAAGTAAACTTTCACAGAGACACAAATGAGAAACTGTGACTGTTGTGAAGGGCCGCACCAATAATCTAACAGTGAGCAAAAGTGAGTTCAGCTTTCTGGTGGGGTCTCTTCACGTGGCCTCTTAGGAAAACTTAATTAATGATTAAACTCTGTATAGTTACAATTCCGTTTCTTATGAGTGAAGTTTGACTTTTTTCTGCCGCTCAATCAAAACTAACCTGTCTTTCTTTATACTCCCTGCAATAGGGAAGGTTTAAATCTTGTGATTTGCTTCACCTG